AAATCACCTCTGTATCTCAATCCTGGCCCTCCGAATTCTATTGATCCCCGGGGTTGGGCCAGCAGGGGCTTCCTGTTTACATAAACCTGTGCCCCCTTATCTGTGACGAAACGCACGGAGTCGCCCCAGCAAGCCATCCCTCACTGCAGTCTGTAAACTGTCTGCCATGTGCTAGGCGGTTTGGACGTTTCCAAGGGAGTGAAGACTTCAGGAGGTTCCACTGTGGCCGCAATCACTCCCACCCAGCACGTTGACGCCAGGGAGGACTGGCAGACCCTAGGGCACAGCTCTGATCTCTGGGTAAAGGTCCCTTCTCTCAGGCACAACAGGGCAAGAAACATCCGTCTTGCAGAGCCGATCAGAGGGGCAGGGCTGTGCTGCAGCTACCCTGGCCAGGAGAAGCAGGAGCATGCCTGTCCTGTGCCACGCACCCCAAAATGGCAACGCACACCCAGGGGCAACCGCATACTCCTGCCATGGTTTCCATTTGAGACAAAGGAAAGTAGAAGATTCAGCAGAACTCCCAGCAGGGCTCTCTAGACAGGGCACTGCAGGGTCATTATCCAGGTCATCACAGAAGACCGTGTAAACAGCACTCCATGCCGAGGCGGGGAGAAGGTGCTGGTGGAGTCCACATATTGTGAATAGGAGTCCCTTGGCTTGGGGAGCATGGAAGTCCCCAAGCCAATGGGCTGGGAACACCTGTGAATGCCGGTGTGCTTCTGGAATGACAGAAGGTTGGCAGGGCACTTGCTCCCCTGCTACTAGCCCGGGCAGTCACCAGGAGACTTAAGAAGTCTGGGGCTTTCCTTTGTCCACCTGGAAATGAATGTCAGTGACCGCCACAGAAGAGCAGTGAGCAGGAGCCCAACACTTCCTGAGGTCCATTATCCAGGGTCTCAGTCATGAAATACATTCAGCACTTTTAAAGAAACAAACACGACAACTGGTACTTCCTTAGCATGTGGATAGATATGCAGTGTTTTTTAGCTAAAGTTTCACTTCATATACAGTAAACCCATTCACAGAACAGATGCTACATTGAGTTTAAGAAGAATCCACTTTAGGAATATCAAAAGGAAACTGATCCTTGATTAACAGGGAAAAAACCCAAAAATTCAGTAAGATATCATCTAATACAAAAACATGCAATTTTGTATGGCTTTATTGAGATACATTTCACAAACCCTAAGGTCCACCTGGGGGAAGAACACAGTTTCCACTTCACTTCGATTGTGTCAGTGTGGCTGTGACCCCGCTCACCCTCAGCTGGAATTTCAGAAGCTCTGTGACTTCTGATAAGCAAGGCAGCTGCCCCCCCACACAGCCGGGCAGCCGGGGGACCTCAGGGATGCAGTACTGCCCCAAGAGCAAAGCGCAGAGCCGGAATGGAATAGCTGCCTGGACGGAGCTGCACTGTCCTGCAGGCGTGCTGGAGGACAGCGTGGTCCAGGGCCCACCGCACCCGTCACCATTCCTTGGCCAGATGACACACCCAAGGAGCCAGGCACTCAGACAATGCTGCTTCTTGGCCTCTATCCCCACCCTGCTTCCTTCCCACACAGGCCTTGACCAACCTGGACATAAACACCCTGCAGGGGTGCCCACCCTGGATCTGGGGTCTGAAGGATCTGCACTCGGGGACAGATGCAGTAAGCCAGACCAAAAGCAAGCACAATGCTATGACAAATATGCTTTGTCCTTGGGATGGTAACAACCTTGGAGGACAGCCAGGGGTGGTGTTGACTCCCTTGTTACCCACCACTCTTCCAGAAGGCAGGGCCTGGCAATCAATCACCTCCCCCAGACACTGTCCAGGCTGGCTGACCCTCCCCCAGGGCCAACCCCATGAAGCAGCCAAATGCAGCCCTGCAGACCCTCGGACGGAGTGGAAGCAGAGCCCAGGCACTCGGTAGCACCCAGCTTATCCAGGGCACCTCGGGCGGGCTCTTCCCATGGTATCCCAGCCTGGCACAAAACAGGGCATTTGAACAAAGAATTCCTTGGCAAAAAAGGAGATATGATTTTTCAAAACCACAAAGCAGTAGAGAAATTTGTTCCTGTGCAGTTCACGTGCTCTGTGCCTTCATAGGGTAACTTTTTCCCACAAACCTTTCTTATTTCAGCTAACAGAGCCTAGGTGCAGAACTGGGTGTCCTTAAACTGCATCTAAATCTTGACAAGCATGGAAAATCTCTTCATGCAGAGCCCAGAGATTTGGGGGAAAAGAAAAGTGTCCTAAGTTCGCTCTTGAGAATGAAAAAAGATCAATCTACTTTCTACAACCAAGAGAGGTTTTTTGTTTGTTTTGTTTTGTTGTCTTAAGACAACCAAAGAAAGCCAGGGGTGGTAGCACATCCTGATACCCAGAAGACCAGCAGGGAGATGGCAAGTTCAAAGCCAACCTCAGTGATTTATCAAGACCCTGTCTCAAAATAAAAAATAAAAAGGGCTGGGGATGTGGCTCAGTGGTCAAGCACCCCAGCGTTCAATCCCTGGTACCTAAACAAAAGGCTGCAGGAAACAGCTGGGAGATCAGTGCCAAGTGGAGACTACATACACATGGAGAAAGGAACCCTTAGTTAAAGGGAAAAAAAGAAGAAGAGAGAATGAGGGTGTCAAAGCTTTCACAAGTGACGGATCAAAGCAGCAGCAGGAAGCAGGGAGCCACAAGCCCTGGTGGAGGTGGGAGGGTGCACGCAGGCCACTGGGTGGGGCACAGGTCTCGCCCCAGTCATGCGGCACCCTCAGTGGTTGCGGCCGCTCCAGGCCACCCAGGCTGAGGCACTCAGGGCCAGGTGACAGCACAGTACTGGAACAAACTCCATGGATGCTAGACCTCAAGACAGAGTGGCCTCAGGTCCCCGATGTCTTTATAGTCACTGCTTGGAACTTATACAGGGAGAAGGGGCCACCACTTGGCATGGAGAGCACAGTGCTCATGCTGCACTTTAGGATTTTGTTTTCAAGTTTGAGTTAGTAAACATGACACCCTGTGGGAGTAGTGACATCCCTTCGCACACTGTGACTCACTGAGCAGGTTCTGAATGGGAGCCCAGTTCAACTTCCCAGCAGGAATGGGAACAATTTTTGATCCAAGATAAACACAGGATGCTTCTTTTTGAACAAATAATTTCCAGTGTCCGCAGAGGTTGTCTGAATCACAATCTTCAGGCTGCTGGACCTGTCAATCATCAACTCAGCACATCACCCAAGGGTGCACCTTGCCTTGGCGGGGACAGTCATGACAGACAGCCTACAAAAGGAGCTGAGATGCCTGAGGGCAGCCATGTCCTCCAGGGTGTTCAGATCAATAAAGCGAGTCTCTGACCCCATGCCTTTTCCTCCCTAGGTCCTCTATGTTCGCTACAGAGCATCTCTACCAAGCTTGCACCTGTTTCTGTTCATGCAATAACAGCTTCTGTCTTTCCTTGTTATCCAGACTGGAAGCCCTGGGAAGAGCCTTGAGAGGTCTGGGGGTTCCCAAATAGGAGAGGGGGCCTCACAGCCACTCTCAAGAGCCACTGGGGGAAGGACACCCACCTGGAGTAGCTACTAAGCCCTCAAAAACAATGCATTGCAAAAGTGAGACTTCCCCAAGGACAGGTTTGTCCTGGGAAGTCCAGGACATGGGTGGTCAGAATTACATGAACGGGACTGGAATCCCCAGGGCATGCGGAAGTCAAGGTCAAGTTCAATGTAAATGTGGCAGCAGTTCCACCTTAAAGCCTGAGCAGTGAGAGACTGTGGCAGAAAGTCGGTGAGGACCCTGAACTCCTGGCTCTGCACCTGCCCAGAGCTGCCCAGGGCTGCCCAGGGCTCAAGCTTCCCATAGTAAAGTAAAAGGCACAGGACCAAGAGGTGAGTGACAGCCAGCAGACGCATTCCGCCCTGGCCCCCGCCGCCCAAAACGGTCCGCAGTAACATACACGACGACTTGGTGGTTCCTCTTCCGGACCCTGCTCTATCACCACGGGAGGAACATCCTGCGAGGACCCCGAGAAGGGGGCGGTGTGTCAGGCGCACCCTGAGGGGGAGCCGTGGGTGGGTGGGACCGTGAGGGGGAGCGCTGTGTGGGTGGGACCTTGAGGGGGAGCCGTGGGTGGGTGGGACCGTGGGGGGGAGCGCTGTGTGGGTGGGACCTTGAGGGGGAGCCGTGGGTGGGTGGGTCCTTGGGGGGGAGCGGTGTGTGGGTGGGTGGGTCCTTGAGGGGGAGCCGTGGGTGGGTGGGACCTTGAGGGGGAGCGGTGTGTGGGTGGGACCGTGAGGGGGAGCGCTGTGTGGGTGGGACCTTGAGGGGGAGCGGTGTGTGGGTGGGACCGTGAGGGGGAGCGCTGTGTGGGTGGGACCTTGAGGGGGAGCCGTGGGTGGGTGGGTCCTTGGGGGGGAGCGCTGTGTGGGTGGGACCTTGAGGGGGAGCGCTGTGTGGGTGGGACCGTGAGGGGGAGCGGTATGTGAGGTGCACCATGAGCAGCAGGGGTATGTCAGGTGGGACCTTGACGGGAACGGTGTGTGGGTGGCACCGTCAGGGGGAGCGCTGTGTCGGTGGGACCAGGAAGTGTTGGCGCCATTTGTTTCAAAATGTCCCCCCGCTGTGTGTTGCTTCTCAGCTGTCCCTTCATCTTGTTAGGAGGACCGCCCATGATCTCTCTGAATGACCGCCTGGAGGACGCGCGGGGATCCGCTTCTCGAGGGGTGGGGGGTGGGGGGCGCTGAGGTCACTTGAACGCGGGACTTGAGCTCTCGCTCGTCAGTGAGGGCAGCTGGGTCCCTTGGGGCAGATGAAGTGCACCTGAGAAGCCTTTTGCAGAATCAGTCCATCAAAACCAAGTTTATCTTATTTATAGTAAAAGGTATCTTTGAAGGTTCCCCAAAAGTTCAGAATTTCTCAGAGAGAAACATTGATGAGTGAAGATAATTGAAGCCATGTGCCGCGTGAGTCAGAGACCAGGAAGCCAGCTCCCGCCACACCGACTGGGGGTCGCTGGGGCAGGGCCTGGTCCACCAGCCTCCCGCTGCTGGTCCCTAGCACGTTTGGTCCAGTGTGGAGATGATGCCGTGGACGGCCCTCCATTAGCTCTCCAGGATCTTGAGGCTGAACTGTGCTCCGAGCACCCTGAGTGTTCTCCTTCTGGATGTTGCAGGGAGCATTCCTTCCAGGTTCTCCTAATGTGGTGCTTCCTGTCCATGACCCAGATTCCTCCACCACGAACCCAGAGGAGCTCGTGACCTCGGTAGCAGTGTGTCCATGAAACTCCCCATGAATGTGGCTCGAGACTTGAGGCCTAGCTCTCAGCTTATCACTGACACACATGCATTGACTAAAACCTTCCCCTCTAGTTCCAGGGAGCTGGAAAGGTACCCAGGCCAGAATCTAATGGCTGCATGTCCCTGGGCACGCTACTCAATCCATCTGTGTCCCAACTTTCTCATCTGCAAAGTGAGAATAGCGAGAGAGTCCCTGCTAGGGACGTGTCTAGGAAAAGAGGCATCACATGGTACACCTTTCTGAAAGGCCCTGGATATACTTCATGTTGCAGAAGTACTAACTAGTGTTGCCTCAGTGCCAACAGTATTAGAGCAGTTAAATTTCCAGAAAAGTAAACTGTTACACTATGCTAATATCTAATGCCATGCTAATTTCTTCTTAACAAGTCAGCTTTCAGCCATTATAAACTGAAAATGAATAGAATAACCTGCCTAAGTGCCTCCAGCACCCTGCTTCCTGCACATGGAGGAGTAGACACCTAGAGCACTCCAGGTGCCCTCCTGGAGGAGGCAGTGTGAAGAGAAGGGGTAGAGGCACCGCCACAGCGGAGCACAGGTGAGCCTGAGCACAAGGTGGGGCCGGCAGAGCCAGCAGCTAGGCCCCAGTGGAGGTCCACCAGGCAGCACCGCAGGGCCAGCACCTAGGTCCCAGTGGAGGTCCACGAGGTAGCACACAGGGCCAGGCTGAAAGCTGGCCTTGTCCTGTAGCATCAAGGGTGTTGATGAGGACAGAGTGAGCTCACCAGGGCAGAGACTGAGGAGGTTACTCTCCCTTCTGTAGCACAGACGGAGAACAGTGGCTGGCCTAGCCCAGAGGGAACCCCAGGTGCAGCACTCACAGGGGAACTGCCTGGCACCATGGCAGGCAGCCTATACCCTGGGGCAACCCAAGTAGTCACCCAGATAGTCATCCTGCCTGCCCATGGGTGTCCTGCAGACCCAGGAAATTGGTGGCCCAGGGAAGTGTCCTCACACACAGAACCCTCCTCACCCTGGGGTCACCCCTGCGGGATCCCTTACTGTGAATCCCTGCACCTTCTCAGTAGGCTTGAGAAGGCCCAGAGGCCCCTGTGCACTGAACCCTGTGGGGCCACAGCACACAGGGGTTCACCAGAGCCTCTTTCACTGCAGGTGAAGCAGCCTAGCCACTGCCCTGACTCTGCCAGGGAGGATGGGAAAGGGCTGTGAAAGTCAAGAGGGAATAGTGCCAAACTCCTGAGGAAGAGACCAGGAAAGAAGAAAGCAGTCGGAAGACTCCAGCACTTCCCTGAGCTGCTTGTAGGCGGATCTGCTGTGATCACACCAGGAGGGCCACCAGCGTCTGCTGGTGCCCCCGTGGCTGAGGCGCAAGGCTGTGCTGCGATCCCTGGCAGCGCTCACCAGCGGGGCTGGAAGGGCACGTCCTGGTGCTCCGCTGCCCGTGCTCTGTGAGGGTTATTTGGCCACACGTGATTAGGATCTGGCTTGCTGTGCACAAATGACAGCCTGGGTCCCTGTGTAATCAGGAGACACCCCAGGTCCCTGTGTAATCAGGAGATACCCTGTGGGCAAAACAGAGGATTAAGTGATTGCAGCTTCAGAGAGCCACACACAGGCACCACTTGTAACTGCACCGTCATCATCACCAAGCTTCCAAGCTCAGTGCTATCCTGATGACACAGGCACTGGGGTGGCATCTGCAGCCAGAGGGCCACGCTGGGCTGCTGAGGTTGCTACCCAGCCCTGTTTGGACCAAGCCTGGCACAGGGACGAATGGCATCCACCTGAAGTTGCACCATTTCTGTTGAGTGTTTAACACATCTTCCTCGTGACACCCCTCATGGGGCCACTTGGCATCTCTAGGTGACATTGGCAAGACAGCTGGTGGGACTCAGTCCCCCACACAGTTCTCAGGAAGCAGAGGCTGCCCAAGCTGGCCTTTGCCATGACTTCCTCATTGCCAGAGGAAAAACGCAAGTGAGACATGGACAGTGACAGCTTCGCACGTGCCTGTGTGTGCCTGCTCCTAGACAGTGCCTCTCAAAGGCTCCCAGGCCTCAGCTCTGCTTGGCTGTTAGCTGTGCCCTGAGCTTACACCCCAAGAAGAAGCCATCACTCTGATGGATGTGGAGATGCACCCTGACCAGTCGCCCACACTGAGCCCCAGGTGTCCATCTCTCTTCAACAAGTTCCTTCTCCACCCATGACCTGGCCACCCTGCTACACCAATCTGCCCCTAAGCCTCCTGGGGTACCTCTGCTCCCAACACACTCATTCCCCACTGCCACCTGAAGTCTGCAGAGTGCAGGTCTACAGCCTACTGACTCTGCTCTGTACACTGGCCAGCCTCAAACGGGACTCTGGTCACATGACACAGAGCTGCCATGTCTGTGGGACCACTGGATAGTGACCACTGAGCCACAATGCACATCGCATTCTTCAGCAAGGGACAGTAGAGCAGGTGGGAAGGCCCCTGCTCCCTCCAGCACAGAGATGTGGTGTGCGTGTTATTTTGGAGCATTTCCATTTCTCTACTCCTCTGGACGTGCAAAAGAAAATTCCCAAAAGAAGCTATGCAAGCCAGGGGTTTAAGGCAGACCGTCCACCTGAAACCCTGCTGGTCTGCAGAGAGCCCACCTGAGAACCTGCAGCTGAGCCCTGGCCTGCCTGCACTGCAAGCTGGTGCGGGGCCACTGTGCCAGCAGCTCGGGATCTCGCTGCCGTGAAGTCACAAAAGGCTATTTTGTGTTCTGAATGAAATTTGGAAACCCAGAAATCATTGAAAGAAGAAAAAGCAAAAAAAAAAAAAAAAATGCATGTGTGCGTGCGACAAAGTCTAAAGGCCAATTGGACTTGGGCTCTGAGTGGGGTTCTGGGCTGGTTCCAGGATCCTTCCCAGATCATCTGGCTCGGGCTGGGGTCTTCAGCCTCTCTATCCACCCGCTGGGAGCAGGTAACGCTGCTGGTACCCACTGGAGCCTGGCCACAGAGCATGAGCAGAGCAGAAGAGCTTGTCACGGCAGGAGGTGAGGAAAGGAGTGAGGGACCACGGGCATCTGGACAGGCTGGACAGAGCTGGAGCCGAGACAGACAGGAAGAAGTGGGGACAGAGAGAGTCATGGCCCTCCTCCCTGGTGACTTCCAAGACCAATGTCACTGCACAGTCCACAGGTATGTTCTTTCTCATTAAAAAGAAAACTGGCTAAAAAGCAGCAGTCAAAATGAGGGAAGGGAAGAGGAAAGGACGGGAGTGTAAACCTGAATGGGGGCAATGAATGGCTTTCAGAATTCCTCTCGAGTTTTGGGAAATAAGGAAATGTAAATTGTTTTGAGTCAGATCTAGTGAGGAATCAATAAAAATAAAAGCATCAAAAAATATTGTACCCCCCAAATGAACGTAAGAGTCTATCTGGTAAGGATGCACTGAGTGAGAATGTATTTGGGGGTGCACCCAACAAGGTGGGTCCAAAGGGAACACACCAGTGAGATGGACCCAACAGGAATCCCCTATGGGAATGTCCAAGGAAAATCCAGCAAGGACACACCCTGTAAGGACGTGTCTAAAGGAAATAAAAGCTGACAACTGACCTTCCCACAGAATTTGCATAAAGAATATTAAAAAGTTCATTGGGAAGGCTCAATAGGAAAGAAAATGTGAAATCCTGAGCATGGAATGTTGATTTGTTACAGTTCTGTTCTTTGGGGTTTTAGTGTATCATAAAAATGACATGTCTGAGAACGTCTATCCCTGAAAAACACTGAAATATAATATAAAATTAGCCAATAAAAACCTTCAGGAATTGCTTTTCAGAAGTCCAGTTCACTAAGTGGTTGACTTTACAGCAGAAAGAAAGAACATGAGTCCAGGGTCCCTGCACAACTCATCTCCAGCTCCATCCCCGAGCCTGCTCATTGTAAATCCTATACTCTACATCAATAACATCGCTCTCATCTATTATTTGGGTAGTAACACTGAGCTGAACACACATTTTCCAGACCTCTAAATAAACTCCTAGAAAAAAAAAAAAAAACATCAAATAACAAACCTCCCTCTTCTTACTTCCCTAATATAACATTTTGCATTATGAGTCAAATGTCTAAAATGGGAAAGTTGAACCCACATTAAGTGGCAGACCAGGCCAGGCAGCAGGGACTTGGCTAGTGGCAGGTGCCCCAGGCCCACCTTGTGACCCCTCCCTGAAGGACAGAGCTCTGCATTCTAGGGCGCCCTCCTGTGGTTGAGTCAGGAAAGGTTGAAGCATCTGGGTAAGGAAGGTGTTTGCAAAGCACCCATGGGTGAGGCAGGAGGGTGCCAGGGCAGGGGTGATGGGTGGAGAGGTGCCAAGAGTCAAGATCATCAGACTCTACTGGATTGTACTCTGAGTGAAAAGAAAGACCCGACTTTGGCAGCCCCCTCCGAAGATAAATCTGTTAAGAATAAAGAACCCATTAGCATAGGCACATGTCTGCATCTGCTAAAGAAAGAACTGGAACATGCATGCTCAGGCTGGGCCACTGCTGCTTTCCCTGCCCTAAGGCACTTCCAAACACCTGAAGTGCATACACCCTGGATGTGCACTCCTGGCCACCTGGCAGGATACAGTGAGCAGAGAGAGCATCTTCAGAGCACAGAAAACCAGTTCTGCGGGTCAGAAGAGTGGTGCAGAGTATGGACACAGTTGGTCCTCACCCCACAGCCCCATGCAGTCACCTTCTCTCAGAAGAAGGTTGGTGTCTCCGCCAGGTAGTATCTGCACATGGAGGAAGTGGGTGGAGCACAGTTCTGTGCCACTGTAGCTAGTGCACAGCCTTAACCACAAGGCCAATTACTGGATTACCATAAGCTTTTTAGAGTAGCAGTCCCAGTTATGTGTACTTGGGAGTCTAATTAAGCAAGTCTAATTAAGCATTTTATGGAAGATGATTTTGACATCATTGAGGGGGCCAGACCTATCCAAGCCTCCTGGGCCTCTTCCAGGGACCATGACAGTGGACAAATGGAAATGCCTCTGTGCCCATGCTGGGAGAAAGTCCCAACCCCTCCATGCATTGAGGCCAGTCCCTTCCTAGGAAGATGCCAGGATGCTCAGCACATCATGTCAACCAAGAGAGTTCCAACCCAGGATATCGAAATCCAAGTGCAAATCCGGTTTCAATAGGAATAGTATATAAAGTCCCACCTTTGAGTTCAAAAACCTTTGTAACAACCAGTCCTGGGGCTGAGTGATTTAACAGCACCTCTGACTTACAGAGCTGTATAGAAATGGGTATCTCTCCAGATTATGTTCTATCATTCAGTGACAACTACTTTTGAATATTGTGTCTGGTTGAGAGATGCATGCTTCAAAGATGTGGATTTTAAGCTCTGGTTAGAGATAGAAATGGGGCTTGGATGAGACAGGAACAGGAATCCTCAGCCTTGGGACTGACTGTGAGGGAAACCAGGAGGCAGCACCCCAAGTAATGGAGTACTGGGATGTCAGGACCCCGCTGGGTTAGCACAGCACTCCAGCCCTGGAGGAGGGTGGGCGGGGCAGGGGAATGAGGCCCTGTGGATCCGGAGCCCCTTCTTCAAAACCATGGCCCTTGGGAAACAGCTGTTGTCAATTCTTGGTAATTTACCATAAGGTGAATTTTTAACATTATGTGATTCCCAGCCTGAGCTGCAACAGAAGTCCTCCCAGCATTCCCACCGAGAACCCTGTCCACGGTCCACCAAGAATTCTACCATGACAAAGGTCACTCCCTGTTGAATGGCCAGGGAGCAGGCCGAGTGTTTATGGTCTCTCTTGCAGTGTTTAAAACTTCATGTGCAGATGACGGGGGCCTCGACGGTCCAGCAGGGCCAGGATGTCAGTGCTTCCCTTTGCTTTGACAATGAGCAGAATCCACCTCTGCTCACTTTCCCCTCTTTTTTCTCCTTTGCTTTCTTCTCCACCTTCTCCTGATAAATGAGCACATCTGAAGGAAGAATAAGGTGAGTATGGCCAGTATGCTGACCGGCACCACTGACCCTCGGGAAGCAGGGCAGGCAGAAGCAGGGGCACAGTCCTCACTGGACTGAGGGGACAGGCATGCTATTGCATGCAGCCACTTCCCCCATGAAGAATGTAAGAGCCCCTGAAACATGGGTATACTGAAGTGCTTACCTGGGTTGTTCTTGGAAGCAGGACGAGCAGCACAGCGCGCTCTCCACACCATACTGAAGCCATGGCCTTACAGAGCTCCATGTCCCTGGAGGGGACATGTGGGGAGCAGCTGCATCCGGAACCTCAGCCCCACTCTGAGCTCCCAGAGGCCCCACATTTGACCATCCTGGGCCCACCAGACACCACAGATAGAAAGATACTAAGAATTTTTTTCACAGGTAAATTTTTAAAATTTAGTTGTATGTTTAAAAAAACACATCCTATGTGGGAAGAATTAAATATATACCCAAAAGTAAACAATACACTGAATTCTGATTAATTGTTTTCTTTCAAATATCTGGAATTTTTTTTTTTTTTAATTAGGAGCACAGATGGAATTTCCGTCATTACTATGATAGTTCTACTTTCTGTTAAAAGTGATTGGTTCCTGTTAATGGTGACGACTGTGTCCTGTGAAGTCTTTGTACTTTGAGTTGATGTCTGGTGCAGGGGAGGACAGCACAGTGGCCACTGCAAAGGGGAGGGAGGTGCAGGCACGTCCCTTGACACTACTTTTGATCTATATATTCTGCCAGATGGTACAGGGAGATTACGGCAGCCTACACGAGGCCCGTCCTGGGCATGCCTGGAAGTGCAAGGCCATGCAGGCAGATGGCGGCTCCCACCTGTTGCCGTCACCAGCAGGCAACAAGGTCAGAGGAGGAAAGGGTGCTCCTCTTCTCAAGATGCCATCAGTAGTCAGGGGTGAGCAGAGAACGAGAAGAGGGAACTGCCCCCCACCCCCTGCACAGGCCCGGTTTGAACGAATAGGAGCGGCAGCATCTGAAGCAAGTTGAGCACACTGCAATACTGCAGTGGGGAAGCTCAGCACAACTGTCACCACGGAGGTGACAACTGTATCCCCATCCTAGAAATTAATGAGCACCCTATAAATCAGAATGACTCGTCTCCTTTAACAGAGCACTTTGCCCTCTCTCAGAGGGCTACAGTTGCTCTGAGCCCCTTCAGCCATCACAGAGTTCAGTGCAGAGAACACCCAGAGACAGCCCTGCCTGAGCCCCTTGGGGCAGCAATGCTCAGCAGCCTCTGGCACCAGCAGGAGGGCAGCTGAGCCTGCTCGGGGCTAGCTTCCTGGGCACATCCCAGAAAATCCTGCCCGGCTCTTCTCCAGGCCTCAGTAGCAAAGCCAGGTAGTGGCCGACCCATAGTCACAGTGCTGGGCAGTCTTGCCCTGGCCTGGGGAAGTGGCTACCATCTTGCTAGACCACTGTGGGCTGGTATCTCTGTGCTGACAAGGGCCTGCCCCATCCTAAGAAGTCATTGATTTCTCAAAAAGAAATCAATGCTACCAGTATACTCACTTGGACAGAGAGCTGATCCACTTTCTCTAGAGCCTGGGTAAATGAACAGAAATGGGGATACAGAAAACACCCCAATTGGGACAAGGCCAGCTTAGTTACCACAGCACTATCCCTCCTAGGACAAGGTCCGCTTAGATACTACAGCACAATTCCACCTAGGACAAGTTCATCTGAAATACCACAGCATCCCATTAGGACAGGTTATCTTAGAAAGCACAGCACTATCCCACAAAAGAAAATGTCAGCTTAGATACTACTGCCCTTTTCTACCTAGGGTAGTACAGTACTTTCTAAACTAGGACAAGGTCAGCTTGGGTACTACAGAACCCTCCCGAGTAGGACAAGTTCAGTTAGATTTTACAGAACATTCCCACCTAGGAAAAGGGCAGCTCAGAAACCACAGCACTATCCTACGATAGATAAGGTGACCTTGGATACCACAGCAGTTTCTCCTTGAGACAAGGCCAGCTTAGATAGCTCGGCACCTTCACACCTAGGAGAATACACTTTTGACACCATAGTACTTTCCCACAGAGGACAAAGTCATCTTGGATACTATGGCACTTTTCCACCTAGGACACGTCATCCTCAACCACAGCACTTTTGCACAAAGAATAGGTCAGCTTAGATACCATAGCACTTTCCCACCTAGGACAAAGTCAGCTTAGATAATACAGCACTTTCCACCAAGGACAAGATCATACCTGATACCACCACACTCCCAACTAGGACAAGGTCAGCTTAGATACTATAGCTGTTTTTTTTCCTTCTATATTTTATTTTGTTTTTTGCCAAGAAACTAATGGATTTATTTTTTGTGAAGTGGCTGCCATCCAGCAGATGGACAGCATCCACATGAAAGAGACCTAACTAAGATTGTCCCAGGGAACATCTGAATGCCAACGCAGGTGCCCAGGGCCACCGCTTCAAAGGCAGCTCCTCAGACTCTGTGAATCCTCACTCTCATTGGAGTCCACATACCTCTCCTCCCCACAAAGTGGCCTCAGCCTGGGGGCGGCCAGTGGGTGCAGTCCATACCCTCATCTGGGTATAGAAGGACTGAAGAGGCCCAGCCACCAGAGGGCGACTGGATGTATCTGAAAACTTGTAGAATCTCAAATGGTGCTAAGATAGATGGAGTGAAATTCACCACAGCACATAGGTGTGAGGAGAGGAAAGGGGCTCACTGTAACTTGGGCAAAAGCGTAAAAGAGAAAGAAAGAAAAGAATACCAAGGAGAAGAAGGAAGAGATGGCCATGAGCACAGATCCTGAGGACAGGCCAGTGTGGCGGC